TCTCTCTCTCTCTCTCTGTCTGTGTGTGTCTTTCTCTTTCTCTCTCTCTCTCTCTCTCTGTCTGTGTGTGTCTTTCTCTTTCTCTCTCTCTCTCTCTGTCTGTGTGTGTCTTTCTCTTTCTCTCTCTCTCTCTCTCTCTCGGTCTGTGTGTGTCTTTCTCTTTCTCTCTCTCTCTCTCTCTCTCTCTCTCGGTCTGTGTGTGTCTCTCTCTGTCTGTGTGTGTGGTGATTTTCCAGTGAGCTAATTTTCCCAGTTTTCTGTCCGTTGTTCCCACTCCCTGCCCCAGCAATGTATAACAGGGACATTGCACCTTGTGACTGACTGACTCTGGCTCAGAGCCAAGGCACCATCAAGCTGTTGTGACATTAATTTTTCCACTGGCTTGTAATCTCTCATGGCCGCGACATAAATTCCTTTCAACCACTTGCGTTAATCTAACACCTTCAACAGGGAGAGAGCTGGGTGCGATCTTCAGTCTCACAGGGAGACAGGTGACTGAGAGGCTGACCAACTAATTCCGAGGGAGAGAGAGACTTCCAAACCATGTAGAGGGAGCTTTACTCTGTATCTAACCCCGTGCTGTCCCTGTCCCTGGGAGTGTTTGATGGGGGGGACAGTGTAGAGGGAGCTTTACTCTGTATCTAACCCCGTGCTGTCCCTGTCCCTGGGAGTGTCTGATTTGGTGGCGGGGGGGTACTTTGCATTCAGTTTAAGGGCAGAGTGTGATTTACTGTGTATCTAAGTTCTGTGGAACATAATCTATGCTGGGAGTGGTTTACAATCTCTGTAGGACTGTGAACTTTGCATTTTCTGTGTATAATTATTTGAATCATTCGATAACCACCTTTAATCTCTATTCCCTCAGCTGGAAAGTGTCGATGCAAGTTTAATCAGAATAAGAGGTTTGTGTGTATATTTTAATGGCTTCTACATTTTAATCACCATCTCTAAATCCCCCCCACTATCATCATCCTGGGGGTTACCATTGACCAGAAACTCAACTGGACCCACCACATAAACACAGCGGCTACAAGAGCAGGTCAGAGGCTGGGAATCCTGCAGCAAGTAACTCCCCTCCCGACTCCCCCCAAAGCCTGTCCCACCATCGACAAGGCATAAGTCAGGAGTGGGATGGAATACTCCCCACTTGCCCCTGGATGGGGGCAGCTCCAACAACACTCAAGAAGCTCGACACCATCCAGGACAAAGCAGCCCCTGCTCGATTGGCACCACATCCACAAACATCCCACTCCCTCCCCCATCGACGCTCAGTCGCAGCAGTGTGTACCATCTACAAGATGCACTGCAGAAACTCGCCAAGGCCCCTCAGGCAGCACCTTCCAAACCCACGGCCACTTCCATCCAGAAGGACAAGGGGCAGCAGATACATGGGAACACCACCCCCTGCAAGTTCCCCTCCGAGCCCCTCCCCATCCTGACTTGGGAAATATATCCCCGTTCCTTCAGGGTCGCTGGGTCAGAATCCTGGAATTCCCTCCCTAAGGGACACTGTGGGTCAACCCTACAGCACATGGACTGCAGCGGGTCAAGAAGGCAGCTCACCCCCACCTTCTCAAGGGGGGCAACTAGGGACGGGTGATGATTGACTGGTGCACAGAAAGATTCCATATCAGGACAGTCAATACTCTTTTTCTGCCACCCCTTTTTTTCCTTTATTCACTCTTGGCATGAGGACTTCGCTGGCTAGGCAGCATTTATTGCCCCATCCCTAATTGCCCAGAGGGCAGTTAAGAGT